TTCATTATTATTTCTATGTTTTCCTAAATACATTTACACTGGTATTGGAGTAGTGATCAAACTTATGCTGTACACTGGTTATTTTTGCTAATATTTAGCTTCAGTGCGGATCCTTTTATTCGGTACACATTTTGGAGCTTGTCAATCGGTTCGCTCGGCACTTACCTGCCCACTCAGGCCTCCAATGCGGCTAATGTCCAGAGATACCTTTCCTGCAAAAGTTTAAAAACGGCGAAGATGTGAGTCCTTATCCAACCTATCGACTTCATATATTTTTAAACCTACTGGTGATTGAAACTCCTAACTGCAACGGAGTACACGGAAAAAAAACCATCATTCGATTATCAAATAGGCAATTTTAAACGCCCAGTCAAACTTTGCTGGATGGATTCTGAAAAAAACTCTAAGATATTAAGGAGATTGTGGTAAATTGTTTACACAATGAAAGTCGAAGCAAACTGACTTAAGAAAAGAGACCTCCCACATAAAAAAGGAAAATTACAGAAGCCAATGTACGCATAAGTACGAGACGTTAGCAGCGGACAGATGGAGAATTCCTAGGATGGATCGAAATATCTTAACCTTCAGCTAAATTAAATTACATACTGGACAGAATTATAGTGCATGTTTTGCTCACCGGAATAAATTTGTTGATTTGCTGACGTTTCGGACAGCTGAACCAGCCGTCCTTTTCGGAAGTGTAAACTGACTTTATCGATCAGCAAATTTAAAGTTGCGACTGTAGGTGTTGGCCTAGGGGCTGATCGTTTTTCTACGCTCGCTGCTTGGCCCTCTTTGTGGATCTTGGCATAACTTGACGGAAGTTGGTGTTCTGTGTCGTCCGCACGGTAGGGAATGCTGGTAAACGAGCACCCTCTTCCGGTGTTTTCGTCCCAGGGCCCTCTTCGTCTGCAAATCCTGACTTCGGTTTGACCATATCCTGTCTTTAATTACGTAATGACGTAGGACTTTGTAGGCCGCGGGCAGATCCAGATGTCTGTTGACATAGTTGACGTCTGAGTATCATGCCTCAAGCGTCAGTCTTTCCGATTTTGAGGCTCCTCGGCCTACGATGGTTGCTCCCTGAATATTTAACTTGTGGCCAGTCTCTCTGAGATGTGTTGCAAGCTGCGGGTTTGGGTCTAGTCTCCGGACCAGCCCAGCTATCTGAAATGTCAGCAAACTAACAAACTTATTCCGATGAGCAAAATTTGAACTACAATTCTTATATCGGAATTCTGACCTTTTCGCATTTGAGCTCATTGATGGAGCCTTCGATACTTGAAAGAATTCGACGGTGAACTAGTGAGCGATGGCATTCCGGTGCATAAACATTTTATGCTTGATTGGTCATGCCTAACAGTCATGCACGTGCGTTTCTTTTATAATTACTAGAGCAATCTTACTGAACATACCAGTCAACGTCTTCTTCATCGTTCTGCATGTCGCCATCGGCCTGGTTTCCTACGTCTACTTCCGGGGATGTGATCCGTTACTGAGTGGCCAGATCTCGCGTTACGACATGCTTTTCCCCTTTCTCGCGCTGAGGCTTTTCAAGGGCATTCCAGTCCTTCGTGGTCTCTTCCTCTCCGTAATTTTTGCAGCGGCACTCAGGTTTGACTAAAAAACAATACTTTGTTAACCCTTCTGATCCTAACGTACAGGCGATCCGCTAAATGTTTTTACAATGAGTTCATATCAGAACTGAATAGGGACCACTCAGGTCAGGTCAGATTTTATTGAGGGAAATATAGGTAAATACCTTTGAACTCCCTATTGGT